TGTGCATGTGTGGGCTTACAATTTTTAAGCTATTTGACATGCCCCAAAGGCTCTTTTATGATGTCATAATTAGCTTTTATTATTTAATTGCATTATGCCACATGTTTGAAAATTAATTTTAATTGGAAATTCAGTTATTATTCATATCCTTTGAACTTTGATCTTGTGTGTCACATTTATTTGTGTAGGGTTACACATCTTAGATTTGGCACATAAGGACCATTAGATTGGAATAATAGACGAGTCAAGGGGCAAAACACTTGAGTTTTGGGTGAAAGTACAAGTCTTGCATGATCTTACACACATTGTACCATACTTTGAATTCACTCACCCTCTCTCTTAATTTTCCATTACCTTTAGCTTCATTTAATTCAATTTTCAAACCATTTTCATCAGAATTTTCGTCCATTTTACCATGGTAAATAATAAAGTTACCCTAGCTTATTTTTCACCCATTTTCTTAGCACTAGAGTTGGGCTCATTCACCCTAAACTTGAATCAAACTATTATAATTTTTTATTTTATTTTCAACATTCATTCTTCCATTCACTCTTATTTTTCAACCTCCACCCTTCTCCATTCTCTCTCCATTGTTCTTCATGTTGTTCATCTCCATCTCATCTTCTCTCCTCCATATCTCATGATCCAACCATCAAAATCCTAATCTGACTCCATCATTCTTCTTCGTCCACCTCACCCTTCAAACCCCAAGCTTCATTTTCTTGGTTTGACTTCAAAATTCTCAAGGTGTTCATAAGCATGGTTCAGCCATAGTGGAAGGATTGTGCTCAAATGGGTTCCAAGATAACTAGAGGCTAAATCTACGAGGAGTGCTAAGAGGGAAGGATGCTAAAGGAGTCTTGAAGGCCTCGATCAAGAAAGGTTAAGGGTTATGGCCACTCTCCATTAAACCTAAGTTGATGTAATCTTGTTCTTAAAATTAGGAGCATTATTATATCTTGTTTTTATTGACCAAAATTAGTATTTAACTTATTGCTTTAGTGTTTTTTCACTTGATTTCCTTTGTGTAGTTGCTAGAAATTTTCTCCAATACATTATAATTTATATAAATATATATTTTATGTGTGTTGAATGTGTCTTACATTGGCTATACATAAATATGTTTGATTGGTGTTTGATAAAATGTTTTATGTGTAAAATTATGCATTAGACTTACTATAGGCCAAGCTGCATGTAAAGGGAACCTAAGGAGAATTTTGATTACTTTGCATTTAACTAAGAAATTGATTAAGGACTTGTAAAAAATTGTGCAAGGACTTGGTTACTTGAATTAGTTAAGAAGGCACACTTATACAAAATTGTGCAAAGGTTTAATTTGACCAAGAGAGTGAAAATTAGCTTAAGCCTAATTAAAAAGAGTACACAAGGAATCTAGCATCCCACAACTCTCAGGACTCCACCTTAGAAAGGGTTAAAACACTCCTATTTCCATTTCACTAGTTAATTAGATTTTTAATTAAATATGTTTGCTTAGTTTAATTAGCTAAAATCAATCAACTCTTGGTTAGTTTAGCTCACTAGTTTAGCCTTAATTAACCTTAGTTAGCCTCCTTAGTGAAGAATGACCTAGGTTGCCACTAGTACTATATTAGTGTTAACTTAGCTATTTTGGAGTGTAAGTGACATACGCTCTCAGCATCATACGAAGTGCAAATCATATATCATAAGAGTGTAAGGAATCAAAAATATGAAAAGAAAAACTTTCAAAATGTGAGGCATCTATACCAATATCAGTTCCCTTTGCACTTTGATACTTAACATGAGTCTTAACCTCCCTCTCCAATGCTTGTGCTTCAACAACAAAATCCAAACAGCAATCTTTCTCCACAATATCAAAGGAAACATCAAAAGAAAATGTGGCATGGTTAACACTAAGATCAATAAAGGAACATGGAGTATTACTACATCCTAATGAGTTAGAGCCATTATAATGTTGTATACTCTCTAAAGAAAGTGTGAAAGTAGATAAGTCTATAGAATCATCAACCAAATTGATGCCTAAAGTAATATGATCTTCATCCAAGGTTGTTGCAAAGGCCACAACACTATGTTCTACTTTATCCTTTGGTATTTCAACACCTAAAAAATCAAAAGAAGAACTCTCCACTAAAGATGGAAAAGGATCAAGCACATTTGAACATAATGTATCAAAAATTCCAGAATTAATCAAACTAGAGCAAATCAAGTAATGTCATATCTAAAAATGTGATGCAAAACTATCACATCCGAAAATGCGACATGGACGGCATGCAAGAGCAAAGATTCGACCATAAAAAAGAAGACCGATTTAAAGGAGTTGTCACCAAAATTTTAAGGAAAAATCTTGGAAAACCTTTAAAAGAAAATGAAAAGAATAGTTTGCATAAACAAGATGGGTTTGGAGGTTGATTATGTGTGAGGAAGGTGTTAGGCACCCACAGCATCTGTTTGTAAGAACGATTACCTTAAACTTATTGTATGAAAATCATATGACCATTTATCTTAATTCCTATTCAATTGTGTATAAAATGCAAATAAATAAAAGATTTATTTAATTACAAGGGGACTTAATTCAAAAATAACTTTAAGGCCTACATACCCTTTTATAGAGATCAAAACCCATGTAGTTCGAGATTATCAATTGTTGGTAAAAACATTTTTTTGAAGATAAATTAATTAGATATAATTCACCATTTTACAAATAAAATAATTTTCTAAAATCTTGATATGTATGTTTTAAATTGCAATAAGTAATTTAATTTTAATTATTTTCTCAATTTTAAAATTTTGAAATAAGAAATAGGTAAAGAGTTTAAATTATTTTTTATATTTTATTATTAAAAATTTAACTGTTATATATGCAGAGCCTCATTGACTCATACAATAATCCAATTGTTTTAAAGATTTAAAAATGAGAGAATCAGTCTAAAGTCCCATGGAAGCACTTTAAATACGCTGAGGTCTCATGAATTTAAGAAATAGCTGCCAGGTCCCTAAGGACCTAAGGGTGAATAAGTCTGAAAGTGAAATTACCCATTTGCCCTCTAGCATTGAAAATAAGATTTTGCTTGCACACGCACGTCTGAGGAAACCCATGATCAGCAATAGTGAAGGTTGCTGCATATCCATGGTTGTTGATCATGGTAGGATCATCTTCACTTCCTCACGTCCATGATTACAGCCGTTGTCTTCATCTAAGTGAGTTGGGAGTGTTTTTTCTGCAACAGCAGCATTTCATCGACAGAAAATAAATTTTCTAGGTAAACGATTGTTGGCCGTAAACAATTACGTAAATTATCGATCAACAGTAGCATATCCATTGTTAGCTGGGTAAATGATTTCTTGTGCGTTAATGATTTCATTATTGTCTAAGGGTAGGATAATGCTTTCTGGGTAAACCTGCGATCATTCAGTTTGCATAGCTGATATATGAAATAATCTGGCGCAACACTATTCCGTTGAAAAATATCTGATATGAATATCTCTCTACATGTTGTCAATAGTGTTTTGTTGTGTTGTCAATATGAGATGAATAGTTGTCAATACACTGTACTATGCAGGCTAACCAGTAAGAATGCAAGCACTACTGGAAAACATGTATTATGTTATTTTTTTTCATATAGGACAATTTATATATTATTCCCAAGCATCTGAGGTAAGCTTGTTTTGTTGAAAAATCTCTGCTATTAACGAACACTACGTCTTGTCAATAGTGGATAAATATGTTGTTAATACACATTGTCTAGTTGTCAATATACTGTGTGTGGTGCAGGTTGACCTGTAAGGTGGCAAGTTCTTCAAGAGAACATATATTATGTTTTTTCCATATAGGGGGCATTTTCAAAATGATGACCAAGGAAGTATGCAATATGTTGGGGGGAGTGTTAGAACTAGAACAATAAAGGAAGGGACAACATATGAAGAGTTGACAAGAATGATATTATCAATTATAAGGAATGAAAGTAATATAATCAAGTTAAAATTCACAGTCAATGTTGATGCAAGCATACTTGTAGATCTAGTTGATGATGATAGAGTAGAACATCTGATCAAATATAACAAACAAAGTGGACATGTGTATGTAGTTGCAAATGGAATGACACCATAGAAGCATCAATGGATTGCCCATTAGAGAACCAACATGTGTAAGTTGTGTAAATTTGTTTGTTAATGCAAATATGTTAGAAAAAAAAAATTGTAATGTTGTCATTGAATGCAGGATTGATAATTTATTGAGAGTTTCATATGGATGCTCTTTCTCTCCACCAAGCATCTATCTTGAGATTGAAGACTCGGAATTGGCATACGCTGTACAAATGGTACCTACACCAATACCTGAAATGAGTTCTATGAAATGGAAGGATTTGTTAGTAGGTAAAGGGCAAATTTTTCCTAATGTTGATGCCTTTAGACAAGCATTGTACAAGTATAGCATCTCCCACAAGTTTTCATACAAGTTTAAGAAGAATAACAAAGAGAAGATCATTGCATATTGCAAGGTGGAGGGCTGTGAATGGAACATTGCAGCATATTCAATAGGAAAAGATAATGAGATTTTAAGGGTTACAAAATTCAACAATGATCACACCCATAATGCGCAAGACAACCTTATTGTGTCACACCCGGCAAGGTCAAAATTAACATCATCAATCATGGTTGATGCTCTAAGGTCTAATATAGATAAAGGTGCCAATGAACTTGCAAGAGACTTGTATAGAGAGTATGGTGTGTGATTGAGCTACAATCAAGCCTATAGGGGAAGAGAAAAAGCATTGCGGGAAATACATGGTCGTGCAGAAGATTCTTATAGCATAATCCCTTAGATTTGTGATCAATTAATGGAAACTGATCCGATAACAGTTGCAAAATGGAATGCCTCAAATAATAGATTTGAGAGGCTATTCATTGCTTATGGATGCTCTATATCTAGTTTTTTAGGAGGTTATTGAGCTATACTTTATGTAGACGGATGTCACCTAAGCAGTCCATACAAGGGAACAATGCTGTCAGCATGTACATATGACGCTGATAATGACTTATTTCCGATAGCATATGCCATTGTTAGTGGGGAAACATTAGAAGATTGGTCTTGGTTTCTTCAAAATGTCAAAGACATAACAAGATCAGTGGAGTTAACAATTGTTTCTGATCGGAATAATGCGATTATTGGTGCCGTGCAAGCTATATTTGGTAGTGGTGAGAGACATGCATTTTGCTACCGTCATGTGAAGGAAAATTTTAGCATAGCATTTACGAAAATCAATAGAGGTAAGACGTGTACCTCGAGCAACATGAAAGATGATGCGTTGAAATTACTTGATGCAATTGCCTATGCAAGGCATGAGGCTGAATTTAATGTTGCAATGGGGAATCTAAGATTGTTTTGTCCACAATTGGCACAATGGGTTGAAACCCAAGGGGATGTAGATCGATGGGCTCAATGCAAGTTTAGATATAAACAATGGGATAATATCACAACTAATCTTGCAGAATCCTTTAATGCTTGGATTGTGAAAGAGAGAAAACACAATGTTAATGTCTTGATTCATGAGCATAGAGAGAAATTGGCAAAGAATATGGTTGCTAGCAAAGCGGCTATGGGAAATTGGAAACATGGTGTCGGGCCTAACGTTGAGGCAAAAGTTATGGAGCAAGTTGTGAGAGCTGAAAATTTACACGCACAAATTTATAGAGAAAATTTGATCTCTGTGCAAACTATATCAGTTAATGGACTAATACACTTGAATGTTGATCTTGCAGCACGTACATGCTCTTGTTTAGCATGGCAAATGAGTGGAATACCTTGTGTACATGCTTGTGCAGCAATCAAGCTACTTCATGGCAATGTGTACAATTTTGTAGATGAATGTTACAAGTTTACTGCTCAAGAAAAGATATATGCCACCAGCGTGAAGCCGATAGCCACACATGACTGTCCACATTGAGAAGCATTGACGGTGACAAATTTATTAACCGAAACCTTTTTGGAGCCACCAATGACTAGAAGGCCTCCTGGTAGGCCAAAGAGTAAAAGAAGGGAATCTCAATTCTAAAACAAAAAGGTGTACCATTGTGGAATATGCCATGAGATTGGTCATACCTCCAAGACTTGTAAGAATCCTAATCCATGCTAGAAAATATTACAGACAAGTGTATTTTTTGTTTATATATATGGAATTTTTTTTGTTTACTTTTTAGTTTATTGTACATAATGTATTAGCACTTTTCAATAGCAAATGCGTAAATTGTAAATGAATTGATACCTTATAGTCAATGACTAATGGCAAGTAATCAATAGGTTCTTGCACCTGGTTGATTTTCGCAGGGATTAACAGCACCAAGTGCTCAACACTTGTCAATGAAGAATTAATACCTTGTCAATATAGTTATATCCACTTGTCAATAGGCAACAGAAGTAGTCAATAAGTTCTTGCACCTTGTTGAATTTTAAAGGGAATAACAGCACTTACTACTTCAGCAATTGTCAATGTCGAATTACTACCTTGTCAATATAGTTAATAGTACTTGTCAATATCCAAAGCTAAGTAGTCAACAGGTTCTTGCACCTTGTTGAATTTTAAAGGGAATAACAGCACTTACTGCTTTAGCACTTGTCAATGTCGAATTACTACCTTGTCAATATAGTTAATAGTACTTGTCAATATCCAAAGCTTAGTAGTCAACAGGTTCTTGCACCTTGTTGAATTTTAAAGGGAATAACAGCACTTACTGCCTCAGCACTTGTTAATGACGAATTACTACCTTGTCAATATAGTTAATAGTACTTGTCAATCTCCAAAGCTAAGTAGTCAACTGGTTCATTTAACTAGCTGATTTTTCAAGGAAACGACAGCACTTACTACCTCAGCACTTGTCAATGACGAATTACTATCTTATCAATATAGTTAATAGTACTTGTCAATCTTTAAAGCTAAGTAGTCAACTGGTTCATTTAACTAGCTGATCTTTCAAGGAAACGACAACACTTACTACCTCAGCACTTGTCAATGGCGAATTATTACCTTGTCAATATAGTTAATAGTACTTGTTAATCTCTAAAGCTAAGTAGTCAACTGGTTCATTTAACTAGCTAATTTTCCAAGGAAACGACAGCACTTACTACCTCAGCACTTGTCAATGGCGAATTACAACCTTATTAATATAGTTATTACTACTTGTCAACGGTGAATTATTAACTTGTTAATATACTTATAGACACTTGTCAATAAAGTGATAATAACTTGTTGACATGCAATTAATAAAACAGACTATCTGCCACATTTACAAACTTGTAATCAGCTTTTATAACCAGCGTTATCTAAGTTAACTACACAAAATGAGCTAACTATACAAAGGGATATGATGATCAATAAAATTATATCCTAAGGTTCTATAAAAAATCTTCTATTTCCTTTTCCTTGTCGCTTGGGATCCTTCTAACAAGGACATGGCTTCGGGCTCCTTCACATTGTTACGATGACTCAGTAGCCACCACAAGAGTTCTACCTTCTTCTTATAGAGGTTATCCTGCACCACAAGTAAGTCTTATAAGGGACAACAACAAATATGTAGTACATGAAAGAGGGAAAATGTAAAGCAAAAAATACATACATTAGAGTATTTTGGCATCGTATACCCATTCTTATCCACATGCACCCCACAAGTATGGCTAAAAACAAAATAAAAAACATAACATAAAATTAATTTTTCACATGTAAATATAAGCTTAATGATGTATAAACATCAAAGGAACTCAAGTATCAGTTCGCACATGAACTTTAGCCCATATAATGTCCGTGCTAACATCATCCTCAAACAATTGTGGCTTGACTGCACGAAGTAGAGAGTGAAAGCAATTCCTCTACAAACTCAAGACTTGCAATGTTAGTAATGTTAATTTACAACTAATCAAGAAGACAACAACAAATATAGATGTTGGTAATGTTGAGTGACAAGTATAGACATACGCATCCTCTTGCCATCATTTCTTTAGGATCCAGTTGTCATTTCTTCTTCTTCTTCTTCTCCTTTCCCTTGCCCTTCTTCTCAACATTCTCTTCTTCTTCCTCTTCCTGCTGTCTTTGGAAATACTCCCTGTTACTGACCAATGAATCTAACACATAAAAGTTCTTACTCTTGGTCTCAAAGACATAGTAAAACCAGTGACTATGGAAAAGAGTTGGGCCAAAAATGAAATCATAATCAGCAATGTTATATCTAACAAACTCAGGAAACATTTCTCCCTTGTTGTCATCTACCGTCCATTTCAATAGGTTGCTGATCATTTTTAGCATGAATTCAGAACCAAAGATATGTCTCCGGACTTTCCCTTGATTTTCCTTTTGGTCATCTACCAAAGTTCGGGCAACCATTGACATCACCCTGTTACTAATCCATCTCTTTCCACCAAAACATTGTAGCTCTGCATAAGTCAAGTAGTAGCTATACAAATCTACAATGATCCTGTTGAAGAAGAAGGAAAAATTAAATAGATTGTCACTAATACTTTAGTCAGTCAAATTTTAGGCACATTATAGGGACTTACTTGTCTCCCACATCTTCCTCATATGGTGTTGTGCATATTTGAAATAATTGCTCCTTCTCATCCATTTTTCTCTTCTTTCCAACATTAGTTCTAACCCATGGAGATTTTACAGCAGATATTTTATATCTTTTTGATCTTCTAGGATGTTTATTTGATTATTCTTCTCCTCTCCCTTCCTCGTCCTCAGTAGAATCTTTCCCTCCTACACCTGCCTCCTTATCCTCTTCCTCTTTTGAATCGTCATTGTTGCCCTTTTTTTTAGGAGAACCTTGCTGTTCATCATCTTTTTCTTTATCGTCTTCACCTTCTAATTTTTCTTCTTCATTCTCTTCCTCTTTTGATTGTTCAGCTCCTTCTTCGTTGTATTCTTCCTCTTCTAATTTTTCTTCTTCATTCTCTTCCTCTTTTGATTGTTCAGCCCCTTCTTTGTTATATTCTTCCTCTTTTAATTTTTCTTCTTCATTTTTTTCCTCTGAAGCTGTCCCCTCATCAACAAGTCCTTCCTTTTCTATTTTTTCATCTTCATTCTTTCCCTCAGAATCTATCCCTTTATCATCATCTTCTTCCTTTTGTGATTTTTCACCTTCTTCCTCTCTTGAGCCTTGTCCAAGCAGCATTGATTGTAAGCTCATTAACTCCTCTCCAATGTCAGACACAAACGACAGCACTTTTCCATGCAGCCTCCTTACTTCTTGCAAGACAATTACTAACTCAGTGCATAAATAAGACCATATATATCTATCCATTGTACTCTATTTTATACATACCGGGTGAACAAATGCCGATTCTTGATACACCTTGGTAGATGAACTACCATGTACAGTAGTTGGCTCATGCAAGATGCCTCGATTGCTCTTTTTCTCCAACTTTATTCTTATATTCACTTTATCATCGTCCCAATATTTCAGAGCATCTACGGCTTTTGGACAACCTTGGCCAACTGGAAAATTCTAGAAGCCCCATACCTAAAAACTTGACAAATCAGTATAAACATAAAACCTTTACATGGAAAACTTTGAAAGGCTATCACTTTGGATTAATGTAAATTGAACACACACTTACCATTAGAAAGTAGATACATCCCCTAACTTTCTTCCTCGTCCTTCCCTTCCCTTTGCTCAGCTGTTTCTTGTAGTCTTCTACCTCCTTACAAAGTTCATTAAAAATGAACGCACCCCAATCATATGCGCTTGGTTTCTTTTGTGTCTCATAAACAACCTTCAATATACTTGCGGTTGGCAATAGCAAGGTTCCCAATGCATACATTACAAAAAGTAACTCAAATTTAGCTACCTCCTTTCCAGATATAATCATTTCAGCTATTTCCTTGTAAGGCATTTTATAGTAAGTATTTCTCAAATTCTTAAAAGCTCTATCATTCACATTGACATCCCCAGTAATCTACTTACCCTCACTACGTAAGCCCATCAAGTCATTCACATCCTTGGCCTTCATTTGCTTGATTTTCCCCCTTATGCATATTTCACGAGTTGGGGGGTCAAAGGCACGCATCAACTCTCCACAAATATCTCTTTGAATTTTTTTACAAGACACATCAAGAAGCCTATGGAATCCTAGCTTCTCAACCCTTTTTTGTAATTTCTCATCTTTCTTAACATATTTTGCCACTTCACCAAATTGGCTAGGAGAGCAGCGCGTATGAAATGGTACGGTATATCTCTTCACTGTTGTCTTTACTTTATCTTTCATCTTCCTTTATCTGGAAAACAAATAGAAAAGTTCAATTACATGTGTTGAAAAGAGATATATGCATACTAGTCATTACTAAGTTCCAACTCATAGATTTCTGCACTAGCATTGTTTATTAGTAAGAAAAAAACACAAGTCATAAAGGCATGATGGTTCACTAGTTATGACAGTTCTCTAGTCAATGGAGCATACTGTTGTTGTCAATGGAGTTTATGGTTGTAGTCATTGAAGTAATTAGTTGTCATTCATGGAATAAATGATTTTGGTTAATACAGCATATGGTTGTTGTCAACAAAGAAAGCAGTTGTCGTCAATGGAGAAATTCGTCCATATTTAAAATTACATATTTTTAAGCAAAATTGGAAGTTAAACTAACCATAATAAAAATATAAAACGCAAGAGGAGTAGTTGAAAGTTGAAACATGCAAATACTCATGCATAGCTACACTTTTGCAACATATCAGAACTCTACTTGGTAAGCTTGACTTGATAAACATTAGAGAACTGTGTGACTAAGTTTTGTCTCTTTCAGAGTACAGAGCACAACTATATGATTATCTTAAGAGCAGGATGAACACTATTGCACCCAATTTGACCGCTCTTGTTAGGAAGCTTGTTGGTGCTCACCTTATTGCCCATGGTGGTAGCTTCCTCAATCTTGCAAAGCTGCTAGGGAGTACTGTACAGATACTTGGTGCTGAACTCTCTTTTAAGGCCCTAAAGACTAAGCATGCTACCGCAAAATATGAGCTTATTTATTATGCATTATTAATTGGTCAGCCTGCTCAAAACTTTAAGGGTAAAATTTCTCGGTCACTTGTTGCAAAGACAGAATTGGTGATTATGGAAGATGCTCTTGGACATGGTCAACATAATTCAATGGGATTGGAAAAACAGAGCCAAGGTGCTTGTGCTATTCTCTAGTTAGTTCTCCTACTTTTGTTGTCACTTGCTACCATTTTTTATATATACTTTCACACAGCTTGAAGCATGCCTAAGGAGTCTTGAAGGCAACGAACTAGGTAGACTTGCCAGTTCAACTAAAGGAAAGCCAAAGATAGAAAGCTATGACAAAGATTGGAAGAAGGGAGTTGGAGGCTTCCATCAAGCTCCTCACGGTGTGTCTGTGGATGAGGAAATGCAAAAGCTTCCTGTTGCTGAAGAAAAGAAAGAAAAGAAGAAAAAGAAGAAAGAGAGAAGTGGGGACGATGATGCTGCTCTACAAGCTGATGCTGGTAAGGAATCAGATTAGGTGGAAACTACAAAGAAGGAGGAGAAGAAGAAACGTAGGGATTCTGCTGAGGATGGCCAGGTACAGGCTGAGAAGGATTACAGAGACGGTGAATTACAGTGAGAAGAAAACTGACATACGAGCAAAAAAACAGAGACGGAGAATTACAGTTATGTGCGAAAACGAAGATGCAAAAAATTAAAGTCACAATCAAGATACCAGCTAAAAAAAGAAAAGAACAAAGAAAGGAATAATGGGAGAAGAAAATGCATAATGAATGGCAGTTGAACCTGTGGTGGCGAGACGGTGGCAGAGGACGGCAGAGACAGTTCGATGATGGCGATTAGGGCAAATATGAGTCGTCGAAGCAGGAGCGAGCAAATCTCGTTCTTTACTCCTTCGAGTTTTTCACTCTCTAACGGCATGACAGTCTTCTCCAATGGAATGCGACCATGAGAATAGTGCTCGGTCGTTAGCTCTGGAGTACACAGAATGAGGAAGACACAACCGTCTTCAGTTTCGTGGGTTAGTGGGAAGCAGACCAATTTTTCATATTTCAAATAGAGGGCAAATGGGTAATTTCACTTTCAGATTTATTTACCCTTAGGTCCCTAAGGACCTGGCAGCTATTTCTTAAATTCATGGGACCTCAGCGTATTTAAAGTGCTTCCATGGGACTTTAGACTGATTCTCCCTTTAAAAATATCACACAATAAAAGAGTTTAACAATTTAATTTATTTATTTATATTCTTATGTATTAATAATAATTTCTTAAGCATGTATATACATATATTTTTTTATCTCACCCGAGAAAAGAATTAAATAATATTTACTTAAATATGTTTTTATTAATTTAATTGATTTATCATGTGTATATACATAATGTATATTTTTTATGTGAAATCCTAATCGTTATGCCTGAGGAGCTTTATTAACTCATGTGATAATATGATTATTTTAGAGGTCTATGGAAATTCAAAAATCTCACGTGACTAAAAGATCTCATTAGTAAATGTGATTATAATTTAAATACATTAATTTGGTTAATTAATGTTTTTAAAATGTGTATTATATTATTATTTACAAAAATTGAGAATCGCAACATCTGCGAGAACTTATTATCCCACATGATGATGTGATTAATTTAAGTCTCTACGAAGATTCTTGAAATCTCACATGAAACTTAAATATCTTATTGATTCAAATTATAAAAAGAGAGTTAATTTTAATGATGGGCAATTGGAACCCATATTTAATATATAAATTTTATTCTCATACCTGTGAAACCTTATTAATTTATGCGATACAAGATCATTTTAAATGCCTACGAAGACCTTTAAAATCTCACATGGCAGATAAATAATTGACAAATATAACCCCTAATTCATCATCATCATCAGTTTCTTTTTTATCTCAATTGTAAGATAAATCCAGTTTATTTTTCAACCTTTGTCATACTAACATTAGAATAAAGCACATTGTAATAATAGAAAGTGCAAGGAAACTTGTCCAATTATAACATCAGTGTAGACGAGCAAAAGACCTTTGGATTGATATATAAACTAGAAATATGTGGCCACACATATGTTTTTTCATGCTAAAAAAATATTTAAAATCTAATTCAACATCCAATCTAATAATCACAACATTTCCTTCCTGTTTAAGACAAAACCATGGCAAGAATATATCCAAAAATTAGTTCAAACAAGTTATGACCACACAAAAATGTTATTGTGAGTTTCTCTTTTTTAAACAACTACCATATCAATTTCTTCATTGTCCTTGGCCAAAACATGATAGGAGTACACCAACAATCAATTTGAACTAATCAATACAGCAGGCAATATCTTTATCTAAAATCTTTTTACTTTTAAGAACAAATACATCAATTTCTTCACTGATTTAGAGCAAAAAAAATGTGACAATATAATGCCCAAACTTGATCAAACATTTAGGATAGCAAATCATATTGTCATTTGGAGTTTCCACCTATATGTAATACATATTAAAGGCTTGCTGAAAATGATTAACTACAACAATTAGAGAGCAACCATCAATGATCAAACTTGTAACTAGAATAGTCCAAGACCAAATGCAATCAAGCAATTTCATCATTATATTTTTTTCTCAGCCAAAATAGTGACAAGAAAAATGCAAAAAATCCATCTTTTGAAATTTAGATACCTTTAAACATGCATGAATAATTGAGGCAGCACAAGCATCCTAATAGTACAAGTTAGAACAGAGAACCTCGTGCCAAATTCTTTATCTATCCATTCTAACAAAGTATATACACACAAAGGATTTATCACAGAACTAACAGGATATATTAATTGAATCCTTTCTAAAACAAACATCAATCTCATATTTGAAAATCTCTCACGGTCCCTAACTTTGATCAAAGCTTGGTGATATTTAAACATAAAATTTTTTTGGAAATGAGAAATCAAAATCAAATATAAAACATTCTAGATCAAAAAGCAAACAGATTAGAGAACCTGTGCAATGCCCCTTCCTCCTCTTGATATCCCAAATCTGCCTCTCTGCTTTTGCCTGAATCACACTCGATTTCCCCTCTTTGATTCTACCTTTTCCCTTTCTAAAACCTAGATCCCTTTTTTTCTTTTTTTTTTAGCTCTGTCGGTCTCCTCTCCAGTAATCCCCAAAACCCAGATCCTTTTTGAAAAATCCCTTTTTCCTTTTTTTTAGCTCTCTCAGTCTCCTTTCTAGAAATCCCTCTCTTGGTCTCCTTTTTAGAAATCCCCAAAACCCAGCTCTTTTTCAAAAAGTCCAGATGCCCTTTTCTCTTTTGCTCTCATACTCTCGATCTCTCTTCTATACTTTGTCCCAGGCTTTATATAGAGAGTAGAAGGGATGGATGATTACTCACCGTTATCTGCTCCTCCAATCTCACACACTTTAGTCTCAAATCTTTCTCTGCATTGCCGTCTCTATCTTTTGCTTTTTCCTTTCCTTCCATTGCATTTTCATCTTTGCTATGTATGTGCGTCTGCTGTGTTTGTGTGTTTGTCGTGTTCGTGTACGTCTACTCTCTCTGCTTCTGGTCCCTTCTCTTTGCCTGTGCAAGTATGCCTTTCATTCAAGAAGACCTTCCTCTTTTCTGCTTTTCTCGCATTTTCTTCTGAGTTCCTCTACTTCCTTCGCTCCCGTGTCTAATCAAATGAAGGGTTAGAAATCGATGGGTTAAACCCAGTGTTTAACCCTTTGGTTTATATATATATATATATATTTAAAACTATAACTCTTTTTTTCACTTTTTAATTATGTTTATTAATTTTAGAAATTAGATTAAGAGGAAAAAAATTTGATTTTGAATTAAAAAAATATCTTTTTTTAATGGAAAAAAACAAGATTTAAAGAAAGAAATTTAAAAATATTGAGCTCTAAAAAAAACTGATTCTCCAAATCTTTGAATTGTTGAGCTAATTTGGGAGAGAGTTTTTAAAGATTTAAGGGAGATTTTTTAATTTTGTTAGATTATTATTATTATTATTGAAAAATATAATCCTAAAAAGGATTAAATTTTATTTTTATTTTTTTATTTTTTTAGTTGTTTTAATTAACTAAAAGAAATAAAATCCTAACTAACAAAAGATTATCTAGCTTAAAATAAAATATTAAATCCTATTAATTAAAATATATTTTTTATTTCATCTCTATTATTAAAATTTTATTTTTTGGTTGAATTTATTATTATTTTTATTTAAAAATTCTTGAACAAAATACATTGTTCACAAGTAATGTGGTGTCATGTGACATGGAAAAGATGAACTAAAGCCATCATAATGTTTCAATGCACTATCATCACTTGATATAAACAATTATGCACAAGAAATTCCAGAATTATTACTTAAATCATGAAATTCATCCAAAGCAATCAAATCACACAAAGAAGAGTATGTTCATGAATAGAAGTAGAAATGTCATATGCTTCAATGTGATCAATATGGGATGAATCACATATGTCACTCAAGTTTTCATGCTCATGTGAATGCAAAGTATCATGCCCTTTCAAACTAAACAGAATTGAAACCATCTAATTGCAATTCATAAAAGTAAAATTATGAGTACATGAACAAGTAGAAAGAAGCAAGGAATCATCATTTCCACAACTAGGAAGCATGGAGACCTCATCAATAAGTGTATCCTCAATAATATCAACACAATGAAGGCTATACTCAACATAACAATGTTTAATGCTATCAAAGATATTAAACTCAATTTTTCTATCCAAAAACGCAATAGTGAGTTTACCTTCCTTCATGTTCAAGATGGTACTTGAGGTCATCATGAATGGTCTCCCAAGAATGAGTGTGACTTGTCCTTCCTCTTATGTATAGAGCACATAAAAGTCAGCTAGAAACACTAAGTCTTGAACTTTCACTAAGATATCTTCTAAAATTCCCTTAGGCTTCCTTGTCCTTCGATCAGCAAGTTTCAAGATCACACCAGAGTCTTTCAATCCTCCTATCTTTAAAGATGTGAAAATATGAGTGGACATCACATTTATGGCAATTTTCAAATCAATAAGAGTTTCTTGAATCTTCACATTTCTAATTTGAATTGGAATCACACATGCCCTTGGATCCTTGCATTTGATAGGTAGTTGAGGCTTAAAGATAGCACTTATGGAGTGACTAAGTTAAATTGTGGCAAGAGGCTTGAACCCTTTCTTGTTGGTGCACAACTCTGTCAAGAACTTTGGCATACTCTTGATCATGTCAAGAAATGGAATGTTCACCTTAACTTTCTTTAACATATCAAAGATGTCTTGCTTTTCATCATCTTAATTCTCCTTGACAAATTCAGTCAAGGCCTTGGGAAATGGAATGTCTTTAGGGATAGGATCCCCAAGTTGGTATTCTCTAGGTGGCTCTCTACTTCCCCACACCTCTTTCTCCTTAGGCTTAAAAGAATTAATTTCATTTGTCTTGGAAGCTTTAAGAACCATGGCTACATCATTATTACCTTTAGTCCCTTTTAAGCTAAATTCCTCTTG